GAAGGGGGCACAGGTGTTACTGAGCTCAGTGCTGGCTCTATGTGGGCTAGGATTAATAGGAGATGCTGCCATGGAACTGAGCTCTTTAGTGTCAGTGGGGATGTCTGATTTCTAGAATAGCTACTTTGTATGATAAGCACCAAGGCTGGAATGGCAACCCACAGGAATCTCTGGCGATGGCTAACTCTTGATCTTCCTAGGAAGGACTGAAAGCCAACAGGGTAATGCTTGATTTGTATAAACAAACAGAAAAAATTCAAGAGCTGGTGAGAAGGCTGGTATCAGCATTGCAATGGGAAATTGCAATCCTTCACCAGCTTTCCAGATCTGAGCCAGTTCGCAGATCCAGAATCAATTGAAGGGGAGAATTTGGGTGTCTTTGGGGAAAAACCTTACAATTCCACAACTATATGCAATAAATATTTCTCCAAAGGGTTTTGTGGCACATACTAGGGAAAGGGAATGCCCAGACATTTGAGGCTATTGGTACAGGGTCTGAGGTGACACAGATCTAGAGGGTCTAAAATCCCCATCATTGCCATCCAGGTAGAGATCAGATAATGAATGGAGTCCTGACCCAAATCCATCTCAGAGACACACCTTGTGATTCTGTTCCTGAGCTGATAACTGGGATGGATATATTCAGCAAGGGGATGGATGTTTAGCACTTTGGCTCCCTAATCTGTAGCCTAAGTCATCATGGTAGAAAGGGCCAAGTGGAACCCATGAAATCCCCCTGCTTTTACCTAGCCAAGATGGTAAATCAAAATACTACATCCTGTGTGGAATTGATTACTCCTGCCCTCAAGGATTAAAGACTCAATTCTGTATCACTCCTGTAAAAAACTGATGAATTGTAGCTGATGATGGTTGTCTGCCATAAGCTTAATCACAATTGCTGTACTGTCTTTACTGGAACAGGTCAACTTGGCCTCTGGCTCTTGCTATGCCAGCTAGTAATCTGGTGAATGCATTCTTCCCATCTCCATCAATAAAGAGAATCAAAGGCAGCTCACAATTAACTGGGAAGGATAGCAGAATATGCTCAATTTCTTAACCTAGACTTCTCAACCCTCCTGCTACTTCACACAGGAACCTTGATTTTCTGGACATTCTGTGGAACATCAAATGATGACATCATAATAATCAGACCTGGTGAACAGAAAGCAGCAAGTGTACTTTGACCCCTCAATAAAACACACGCACACCAGAGGATGGGAGATAAATCCTACAAAGATTCAAGGGCCTTTTATATCAGTGAAGTTTTTAAGGGTCCAAATGTCTGAGGCATGCTGGAAAATTCTAAGGTAATGGACACATTGCATCTTGCCTTCCCTAAGAGGCAGTGTTTGGTGGGCTTCCTTGATTTTGGAGGCAACATATACATTTTCAACTGTGGCCCAGAGTCATATAGCCCAAGTACCACATGACCTGGCAGATTCAGATGGTGTTAGAGGTAACTGTGGTAGGTAAAAATGTTATGTAGAGGTCTGCTAAGCCCCAGTAGCTTGCCCATAGAATCCTAGAGCAAGGCCATGCATTCTGCAGCAGAAAACTGTTCAGTGTGAAAAGCAGCTCCTGGGATGCTGACCATGGGACAGTGACCATGGAACTGGAGCTGTTTGTTGATCACAGCTGAGTATGCTCTGACTCACAAGTCACTCGATCTGAATGGAGTAGACACAGCAATGATCCATTATGAGGAAATGTCACATTTGGGATAAAGCATGAGCAGGTCCAGAAGTCACAAAGGATGTAAGCAGGAGGCTCAGACCCCGTGTCACCTGCCTTTGCTGAACTGCTACTTCTCCCTCTGCTCACACCTGTGAACTCATGGCAGGCTCTTTGACTTGGTGGAAGAAACAACTGAGTCTGTTTCACTGAGGAGTCAGCTCAGTATTTTGGTGTGAACCCAAAAGGCATTGATTGACTCACTATGGCCTTCCTGAGGAGTGGCCCTGAAGCCCACTGTGAGAAATCCAGTGGGAGAGCTGCAGGCAGTCTGTGGCACCATCTTTGTATGGAGGGAGAAGTGGTTTGAGAAAAAGTCATGGCCTCCTGGGCTGTGGCAAATAGCTTGTCCAGACAAGGGGCCTGCAAAGAGTAAGGTTAAAGTCTGGAGACAAGATACAAAGACATCAGCTTACAGATGGACCTATGGGCGCTGAAACGAAATGCGTAGATCTTTATGTCTTCCATCAATGTCCCTCAGAGAGTACCCACTGCACAAACGGCAATACAGATATGGGACCCATTCACCTCTCACAAAAGTAGGATGAGCAGCAGACCTTCAAGCTTAGCAAGGGCTCTTCATTCCCTGTATCTGGAGCAGCTCCAGCAGGAGCCCTTCAGATAACCAGCTGCTGCTAATCACTAAATTCTCTGTGGGCCTCCATCATGGTTAATATCGGGTTGTCGGAAAAATCATGACACGTTTGCAACAGATGGCACTAGTTCATTTTTGGAAGTACTAGAGTCATTCGCATCTATGTTATTGCTATGTCATTTGACAGCTCACAATTCTAGCTTCAGTCTAAAAAAAAAATTGAGCGATTTGGTTGAGTTTTGGAGATTTTACAACAAGTTGAAGATGGAAGACCAAACTGCCTTTTTGCCATATTTTACTGTTTTAATTCCATAAAGGGAAGAACACGCGTCAAGCTTGTGAAAAGTTGCATAAAGCTTACGGTGACAATGCTCTACAAGAACGTCAGTACCAACGATGGCTCATGAAATTCTGTGCTGGTGATTTTGATCTCAACAACGCTCCTCAGTCAGGGAGTTCCACCGAGGTTGATGACGACAAAATAAAGGCATTGATCGAGTCAAACCCACGTTACACGACACAAGAGATTGCAGAAACATTGAACATCCATCATTCAAGCGTTCACGACCACCTGAAAAAGCTGGGATACGTAAGCAAGCTTGATATTTGGGTTCTGCATGAACTCAAAGAAGTTCATTTGACGGCACGTATAAATATGCTCATTAAATGTGAGGAAAACAATCCTTTTTTGAAGCAACTGATAACTGGTGATGAGAATGGATTGTTGACAACAATGTGGTGCGCAAACGGTCTTGGTCCCGATGTGATGATTCGCCTCAAATGACATCGAAAGCAGACATTCATCAGAGGAAGGTTATGCTCTCAAGTATGGTGGGATTTTACAGGTGTCATGTTTTTCGAGCTCCTACCAAGGAACCAAACAATCAATTTGAATGTGTACTGTCGGCAATTGGACAGCTTGAATAAATCCATTATCCAGAAATGTCCAGAGCTTGTTAATTGTAAAGGAGTTGTGTTCCATCACAACAACGTGAGACCACACACAAGTTTGATCAACCGTCAAAAATTACTGGAGCTTGGATGGGATGTGTTGCCACACCCACCATACTCGCCTGACCTTGCGCCGTCAGACTTCCACTTGTTTTGCTCTCTTCAAAACTCCTTGGGGCCGGCCGAGTGGCATGATGGTTAAGAACTCGCTTGGGATGCCAGAGGGCCCCGGTTCGGATCCCACATATGAGGGCCAGTGACACTGCCCTCTGCAGCTAAGATGCTG